ACCCCCAGCCCCTCCTCCCTCACACCTGGGAGTCCTGACCCCCAGCCCCTCCTCTCTCACACCTGGGAGTCCTCACTCCCAGTTTCTACTCCCTCACACCTGGGAGTCCTCACCCCCAACCCCTTCTCCTTCAGACTAGAAGTCTTGACCCCTAGTTTCTCCTCCTTCAGACTAGAAGTCCTGATTCCCAGGTTTTCCTGATGCCCAGCCCTTACTCCCTCAGACTAGAAGTCCTGACCCCCAGCCCCTTCTCTTCAGAGCTGAGAGTCTGAGCCCTCAAACTTACCATAGATAGACTTGGCGCTTGGTTTTGGGGCAGCTTCTGGGCTGGTGAAAGAAAGGAAAAATGAAAAAGACAGTAAGAATTATGAAAGGTTTTACACCCACCTGAGGTAAGACTTTAATGTGTGGGCAATAGGAAGCCATTGAGGGTTTTCAACAAGAAAGAGGTGAAAGGCCAGAGCTGATTTTTAAAAAATTTATTATTATTCTTTTTTTATGTGTGTACCATCAAATCAGATCTGACTGGTACGGGAGGGAGGCAATTGTTCCTCCGGCTTCAGCAGAGCATCTGGTGGATTTGAACTGTGCACCTCTGAGATTGCAGTGCAGCTTCTTGCCACTAGGCCACCAGAGCTCGTCAGAGCTGAATTTTAAGACAGAGAAGGTAGTGGTACTGGGTGATGGTGGGAGCAAGGTGTCTACTGTGAGAGAGACCTGAATTCTAATCCGCTGCCTGCCTGCCTTGTTGTAAGACTCTGGGTAAAGAGATTATACGTCTCCTGCCTCAGTTTCTTTCTCTGTAAAATAGGTTGGTCCGATAGCCTCTGCTGGTAGCATCTATAGCAATCAACACCCAGGAAGCAGTAGTCAAGAAATAAAACATGCTGAGGCAGTCTTAGAGGTGACTCCCAGATCTGTGTAATAAAGTGCATTTCTGGGGGAAAAAAAAGAAATGAAACATGCTGGGAACTATAAGAAAGGTTCCAGAGCAAGAATGTCACTTTGAGGACTAAGGTGTGTCTGACTCAAGCCATGGTATTTCCCATTGCTTCACATGCATGGGAAATCTGCACTGATAAGGAAGACCAGAGAACTGATGCCTTTGAATTGTGGTGTAGAAAAACAAACAAATCTATCTTGGAAAAAAACACAGCCAGAACACTCCTTGGAAGTGGGGATGGTGAGACCTCAGCTCACATATTTTGAAGATATAATCAGGAGTGGCCAATCCCAGGAGAAAAATATCAAGCTTGGTAAGATAAGATAGAAGGTCCAGAGAAACAGGAAGGTCCCCAGGCTGGTGGAGTGACACAAGGGCTGCAATATCAGGTGTGGGCCCAGCGGAGATGGTGAGGATGGAGCTCTGTGGCGGCTTTGTGTTGTTGTCCGTAGGGTCACTAGGAGTCCTTGCAGACCTGATAACACCCAGCAACAGTGGCGGCAGTGCGGCTTCTGGGTTGTTGGGAGGATTCCCTGAGCTAATTCAGATCAGGTGCCTTGCCACCCCAGAAACTGTTACTATATCATTATTATGATGCAAAAGACTTAGCACACAGAAGTTGCTCAATAAATGGAAACTGTTTCAATAGCACTCATGTTTGTGCAGATGGGAGAATTATCGCCTTCTCCTCTCATCTGTGTGGACCAGGCTCTCTGCAGCCAAATCCTTCTCCATCCCCTTCAATGTCCCTGCCTCCAAGAGGCACCTTGGGGTCCCCATTTCTGACCCCAGAACTCAGGTGGGGGTGAGGTGGACACTGAGAAACCCTTTCAGCAGTCACATCCTTGCTCTTTTTTCCTGTTGGTCAAGTCTTCCTATACTTTGATTACCTCTTGAGCTGGGGCGCTCACTACCTCCAAGGCACTGATTGTCACACATGAGCCGGAAGTTCCAACAATGAGTCCAGGCACAGTGGCGGCTATGAAGGTGGTCCAGGATGGGTCATGGGTTCCTGAGAGTCAGAGCTGACTACAGTTCCTGACAGCCACCACTTGCTGCTTCCTGGTCATTCCAGGAGCCTTAAGCCTTCATTTTCAACAGCCCTGCTTTGCCGAGAAAAGGTCAATATTTAAGGAGAAGATAACACCCCCAGCAGCCGTCCTTGTTTGCCTTGAACTGGTTTGCCGGCTGGTGGTGACTCCGTGGAGTCCTGTACACATGCCCTTGTCCCACTGAGCAATCCCAGTCTCCCCACTGTTTCACAGAGAAAGAGATGGGATGAGGCTTGAAGTGGAGTCAGGGTTCATGATCACAGAGGGTTAGAGCCCCAAGCCAGAGCTCTCCTCCTGGTGGGAGCTCCTGACCCTGGCTGGGCAGAGAGGGCAGAGGGCAGGCTTCTGCTGAGGCATCCTGGGAAATGCCACTGCAGGAGGGGGCAGGGGGGGTCAGGGGGACACTTACCCAGTGGTGGTGCTCATGGTGCTGGGAATGGACAGTTTCTGTCCTCCTGGAGGTGTCTGGGGACCAGCAAGGAAAGGAGGGCTCAAAGAGAGCCAACCCTTCCTCTTTCTGATCTGGACCCCACCCCCAGTTTCTTCTCCCTCAGACCCGAGTCCTGATCCCCAGCCCTCCTCCCTAAACTTGGAGTTCTGACCTTTAGCCCTCTTCCCTCAAATCCAGGAGTCCCGACCCTCACCCCTCCTCCCTCAGATGGGGAGTCCTGACCCCTGACCCCCTTCATCGAATCCAGAGTTCTGACCTTCAGCTCTCCCACCTCAGAACCAGGAGTCTGGACCCCCACCCCTCCTCCCTCAGACCCAGGAGTCCTGACCCCTCAGCCCCACCTCCTTCAGACTGGGAGTCTGGTACCCCACCCCATCTCTCCTCCCTCAGGCCTAGGAGTCGGAGGGGGGCCCTCTGCCACATTTCTCCCTGACTTCGGAATCTGGTCCTGGGCCTCTGCCTCCTCTCCAGCACTCAGCCCAGAGTCTGACCTCCTGTTCACCTGCCCCAGCTTCTGGTCCTGCTTACCTGCCCCTGCTCACCTGTCCCAGCTCCCCTGCCCCTACTCACCTGTCCCAGCTCTCCTGCCTCTGCTCACCTGTCCCAACTCCCCTGCCACAGCTCCCCTGCCCCAGCTCTCCTGCCTCTGCTTACCTGTCCCAACTCCCCTGCCACAGCTCCCCTGCCCCAGCTCCTCTCCCACAGCTCACCTGTCCCAGCTCTCCTGCCCCTCCTCTCCTGCCCGTTCCGCACTGGCTCTGGCTCTGTCAGAAGACAGCTCTCTCGGTGCTCCCAGCCCAGCGCGGCCCCTCCTTCTCCCGCCCAGGCTGACCCGCCTCCGCATACCTGAGCGCCCAACCTGGCCCCGCCCGCTGCCGCCTGGGGTGGGTGGGGCCGCCTCCGTCGTCCCAGCGACGTCCCAGCGATTCCACGGTGACAACTGTAATTTGGTGTCACCCTCGTGCCTCGCTCTTTCCATACCTTGCGAGTTCTCCCGTCAGGTAAGCCAAGGAGGAGGTCTGGTTTTCAGGGGACTGAGGAGGAAGCTGAAACTTAGAGACTTTAAGCTCCGGGTTCACAGTCACAATGTCTGTTTAGGGGCCGTGCTGTTTCCAGGACCCGAGCCCCGCCCCACCTCTGCAGACGGCCCTGTCCACCTCACCAGCTTCCAATGCGCTCAAACCCCACCTTTCCTTTCCTCTGCCTCCGGGGAACTCCCCTAAAACGGAAGCACGGATTTGCTACTTAGCGACAGATTAGATCTTGCTAAAGAGCAAGGATGTCAATCTAAAGACTAAGGTGTGCCTGATCCAAACCATGGTCTTTTTAAAATTACTTCTTAGGCATCTGAAAGTTGAATAACACCTGATGCTCTGCTGGAGAAGGAGGGGGCAATCTCCTCCTGTACCAGTCAGATCTGATTTGATGGTACACGTAAAAATAATACAATAAAAATTTAAAA